AAAAAAGCAGTAAGGTGACCGAAAATTTCACTTTGCCCTTCCAAGAATTAAACTAACACTAATTTCAAAAAACAAACAAACCCCAAAATGAAGCATTTAGAGTCTGGTTTCACAGATGAAAGAAAAAAAATTAAAACAGCTTGTGAAGTGAAGTGGGTCAGATTGTCCTGAAACCATATCAGTAATGCATCTGCCAAGTTAAAGTTAGAAAAGACAGTGTCAGGGGAAGGAAGAGTGTTATGCTAGTAGTTTTACTAGCTTAGAATATGCATTGTAAAGTCTCATCTAGTCTGGGTAAGTGACTAGTCTGGGTAAGTGACTTGAGGTGGAAGATTCTGAATTTTCTATAACAGCTGATGGTGGGCTCCTGTTTGTTATACAGGTTGTGTGATGTACTCTCACTATATAAGTTATGTGATGAAATCACTTGGCTAGCACAATACTTTACACAACAGACAAAGATACTTATGTTATCCTTAATTGTATACTTTAATGTAGATTTGGATGGCTGCTTTATTAACACTTCAAAATAATGAAAAAGAAAACCATACAGAATATTTTTGGAGTCCTTTTATGAAAAACTTAACAAAGACTATAAAACTGAAGAACTAATCAAAAATAAGTAGGCAATTTAAATTCAGAACACAAAAATATTCCATTTTAGCTAGCTCTTCTTTTTAAATGCAATTTGTACTCTGTTTGAATATAAGATATCCCTTTATTGAAGTACTGTCTAGGTACAAATCATAGTCAAACTATACTTATGACTGTTATTCTTGTTACATTTGAGGTCTTACCGTGTTGCAAGCTTATGGCAAACTACACCAGTGTCTGTTATGACTTCACTCAGTCTCAGTTCCAGGTGGACCTTCCCCTGAAATACACAATGAAAAAATGCCACATGAAAATTGTGGTATTACACAGCCAGCTGCAACTTTACAACTTGAAATAAAGCCAGTCAGCAACATCAAAAATAGTTTAAATATTAGTTTACTAAACAATTATACAGCTAAGGTGCTATTTTTCCCCAACCAAGTGAAATCAACCCTCTCACCATTTAATTTAACTTCTGTAGATAACAATATTTGTCCTTTCCCATAGCTCTGGATGTTATAGCAACTCAGCAATACAGGTTCTCCAGTCTGACTAAGAAACTAAAATATCCTATTATGCCATTATCTAATTTTAACATATTGAACTTTACAAGAAGATTGCAGCACATCCATGGAGAACAATGCTCGCACATGATAATCGGATTCCTTGGATCCTCACCCACTGGCTCCACCTTCTCTATCATCTCAAACAAAACTTCTTATCTAATTTTAAGGCCCTTCACACATGCACCTTCCCATATCTATCTTAGCTGTAAAACACAGATTCACTCTGTCAATGTAACCAGCCACTAACACCTGTCAGTCAGCTTTTATATATAAAGGTGGGAGAAAGTGCAGAGGTGTCTATATATGCAAAGGTGGCACTTTCTCCCACCTTTAAGGCAACCTTTAAAAGAAAGGGGACAAAAAACCCTGTAAAAATCCACAAAGTCACTTATCCTACCTTAAAATGTACTTTAATACTCACTACTGACACAGTGCTCATACAGCAGATCGCTGACACTGGCTATATAAAAAACAGGGAGCTGAGACTGCTTATTGTACAGAGGGGCCGTAGGAGCTGTAGTCTTTCTTTCCTCTTGTTTCTTCTCTCCCCTTCACTGCATGTCTCTCAGACAAACAACAATCATTTATTTTTAAAAGCACTGAGAAGCAGCAGTGAAGATGTAGGGAATACTCAAGAAAAATGCCCTTTCAGAGAAAACCCCAAGATATAGGAGTTAATGTTTTTACAGATATATTTCTGGTAACTTAAAGGAAAGATAATATTGTTATCTGAAGAGAAAGCACAGAGTTCCTCAAAATGCTTTGCTGAACATACGTGGGTGGCTTATTTACAGGCAGGTTTTGAAAGGTAAAGTTCAAATTAGGTATGCAAGATAACAGCTTCTTTTTTAGAAACTGAATTTGCAAAAAGTGGTTTCAAACCTCACTGCAATTTGCAATTTAATTTATTAAAATGTTGTATTCTTTGTTTTTCTTTTATAAGGAACTGGAACACAGGCAAACAAAAAAGTAACACAAGCCTCTGGAAAGCAACTAAGAGGTCACGACATCACTTAAAAAGGCAAATCCTATGAATGGTCCCAGAATACCTCATTACTTCTAGTTACTAAACTCAGGCGTGGGTGTACCTTAATTTAAGGCTGTGCTAACATGCATGGCTGTTTAATTCACAGAAAACACAGCTTCTATGTAAACATCATGCTTTTCCTGGTGCCAGTTATGCCTTTAGGCAAAACCTAGGGACCCATCTAAATTAATATACCCTTGAGCACTGCCATTTAGCTTGCCTGCAAAATACCAGATAATGCATCTCTTAAAGAAAAGAAAGAAAAATGTTACAAATGCATTTTATAAATCAGTTTATTTAATTATATACTCCAGTAAAATATATATTTGTAAGTTTTAAAGAAACCAGAAGTTGCTACATTCCCTGTCTTTTTGCAATTTGTGACAAAACAAGTGCTATCATTAGTAATACCTAGAGGCCCCAATTATCACCAAGCGCACAGAAATAAATTAGATCTCTCTACAATAAAAATAGACCAGGCAAATAAATGGTGGGAGCAAAGGCACATTCCCTTCATTTTACAAATGAGAAATCAAAGACACTGACAAATTAAAGTGCAAATTAAACATGAATCAAAATCAGATACCTTAAGTCCTAAATTCAGTGCCTTGACTACAAAGGCTTTCATTCCTCTGCAGTCCTACTCACTGCACAAATACAGGCAAGAAGCTATAAAGCTTTGAGAGTCGTGAGGCAGTTTGTGTTAGTTATTAGAAACAGTCACACTAAACCTACTCCAGTCTGTTCCTGAAAACTGGCATATTTACTAATAATGCCCTTTATCAACATATACAGGAGTGCTGTTCTGCAGAAACAGGTACAACTGGAGTGTTTGCTCACTTAAATACTGAACAGCAGCACTTCCTTATTCATGGATCATATTCCTTCCAAACCATGTCTGGAACGTTGCAATAGAGACTGGCCAGGATTCAGTTTTCAGTTCTTCACTGACAAAACTGTCAGTGGATTTACCTTCCTGTAGACTGGTAACTGTGGCAATGATGATGCTCAAATAAAACAAATTCACAGCTGCAAAGCTGAAAAATTAAGAGTGCAATATGTTTTTATTATTCATTAATCTATTTAGGAATCTAATTCTGCACAGGAATAGCTCTTATTGAAGTCAACAAGAGCTCTGCACATTTAGAATCACAAAAATAGGGTTGGAAGAGACCTAGAGAGGTCATCTAATCAAACCCCTTCTCAAGGAAAGCCCATTCCTGTCTAAGACATTCCAGAGAAGACAGTCTAAAATGCTCTTAAACACTGTCCATTTCACATCTGCTTCAGGTAGTCTAAACGACTTAGTAGGGCTAACAGAAACCTGGTGGGATTCTTCCCATGACTGGGCGGTACACATTGAGAGTTATAAGCTGTACAGAAAGGACAGAGTGGGGAGGAGAGGGGGAGGGGTGGCGCTCTGTGTCAATGAGGGATATACATCGACCCTTATCAAAACGAAATCAGAGGAGGAGAAAGTAGAAGGATTGTGGGTTAGGTTACATGGAGGTCAAGGAGAAAGGGATTTGGTGGTAGGGGTCTGCTACAGACCCCCACACCAAGGGGAAGAGCTAGATTTGGGGTTCCTGAGGCAGCTCTTGGAGACCATAAAAACTAGGGAGGCGGTAGTCATGGGGGACCTAAACTACCCAGACATCTGCTGGGAGTCACAGACAGCAAAGTCCCACCATTCACACAGGTTCCTATCCTGTGTACAGGACCTCCATCTAGGGAGGAAAAATGTCCAGCATACCTACTGCCTAGGAAATTACCTGCTTGGTGGCACGGAAGTGGAAAGGGATCTTGGAGTCCTAATGGACTCCAAGATGAACATGAGTCGGCAGTGTGACGAAGTCATCAGAAAAGCTAATGGCACTTTATCGTGCATCAGCAGATGCATGACGAACAGAACCAAGGAGGTGATAATTCCCCTCTTTCTGGGGCACCTGGACCTCTTCAGCCTCTGCAAGAGAAGGTTGAGAGGCGACCTTGTGGCTGCCTATAAGTTTATCATGGGGGCACAGACGGGAATTGGTGAGGCACTATTCACCAAGGCGTCCCTGGGGGTTACAAGAAATAATGGCCACAAGCTATCAGAGGGCAGATTTAGACTAGACATTAGGAAGAACTTCTTCACAGTTAGAGTGGCCAAAGTCTGGAATGGGCTTCCAAGGGAGGTGGTGCTCTCCCCTACCCTGGGGGGTCTTCAAGAGGAGGTTAGATAAGCATCTAGCTGGGGTCATCTAGACCCAGCACGCTTTCCTGCCTATGCAGGGGGTCGGACTCGATGATCTATTGAGGTCCCTTCCAACCCTAACATCTATGAATCTATGAATCTCTTCCAATGCTTAACCACCATCACAATGAGAAAGTTCTTCCTAACATCCAACCTTAATTTCCTTTGTTGCAATTTAACACCCTTCTTTCTTGTCCGGTCTCCTGCAGCCACATAGTCTATCACCATCCTCTTTTTAACCACTCCTCAGGTATTTGAAGACTTATCATGTCCCCTGTCTATATTCTCTTGTCCACACTAAATGATCTCAGTTCTTTCAGCCTACCCAACCCTTTCCCGTACATTCGTAGATGTTAGGGTCGGAAGGGCCCTCAATAGATCATCGAGTCCGACCCCCTGCATAGGCAGGAAAGCGTGCTGGGTCTAGATGACCCCAGCTAGATAGAAACATGACCCGTAAGTCATGTTTCCCATACCTCTAATATTTTATGTCACTCTCCACTGGATTCTCTCCACTTGCTTGAAGCATGCTGCCCAAACCTGGACACAATACTTCAGGCAGGCTTCACCAGTACTGACAGAGCAGAAACATCACTTCACTTGATTTGCAGGTGACATTCCTTTTAATACAACTCAGTATACCATTAGCTTGTTTTGCAACAACAGGACACTTAGCTCACATTTAGCTTGTGGTCCACTATCACCCCCAAATCCTTTTCTGAAATATTGCAGTCTGGCCAATCTTTCTGCAGTCCATATTTACACATGTGATTGTTCTAAGTGCAGGACTTTTTATCTATCCTCATTGAAATTCATTTAAATTTGGACTGTTTCGCCAATGTATCAAGGTCATTCTGAATCCTAATCTTATTCTCCCGAGTGTCTGCAATTTCACTCAGCTTGGTGCAAGCTACAAATTTGCCAACTGTCCACTTAACTGCAACCTCCAATCCATATATGAAGAAAATGTTAAAATTACAGTTGGCTTAGCAAAACTGGAAGACACAACAGGAGCCTATGCATGGAAGCTACATAAATTCATTGTTGTTGTATATTAACACAGTCTAAAGTCATGAAGTCTAAATTAGCCCAGAGTAAAAAGATTATGACTTTCCAAGTGATATTATGGTAAGAAGAGAGGCAGGGCCCCTGTGCATGTAAACTGTTGCAAGACTGTAGGACATTCTTAGACAATTTCTTTAGCATGCAATGTACAATTGCCAGGATGGGGGACTTACAAGAGTCTACAGGTGTAAGGGGTGGTGGGGAAGGAGGGAGGTAGAGGGCACTCTTCATTAGTTCATACCACCTGCTCTTGCTTCAGGCAGGTAGTCTCAGCCAGATCTCTTTATATTGGTGATGGTCAGTTAACGTGCTCGGTGTAGATGTCCTGTGACCATCTGAGGGTGTCAGATGCTATGAGTAGCACCTCATCAACTTTGAATAATCAG